AGAAGTGTTTGAGTCAGTTAAGAACACTTAGGTGTTGCTGTTTCTCAAAAGAAGGACAAAGATATCAACTGTGTATTATGGAGGATGCTGTATACTTACGAATGCTTAAAAGGGAACAAAACTATTTTAAATTCTTTGTGTTTAGAGAGGCAAGGTCATGAATAGGTCTATGAATGTAAAAATGTAGCTTGTCCTGAGGCTGTCCCTCTGCTCACGACTTGATTACCTCCTGTCTGGCTCGGGGATGTTACTGGGTGTGAGCCTCTTCTGCCCGCTTCTCTTGTAGCAAGCATGTGGGACAGCACAGGCAGTAGTGGGAAGTGTTTGCCTGCTGGTGTCTGCTATGGAAAAAATTTTGAGTTTAAAATTTGAATATTGTACAAAAAAAAAAAAAAAACCAACGGTCATGAAGAAAAAAGTAATTGCATGAAAAGATGTTTATGCACTTCTTGTAAAACAGTATGTGGAAGATGGTTACATTTTTACCTAATGCTTATTTTTCCACATGTAGGGATATTTTCTCAGGACAGACTTTTCAGACATAGAATTAATAAATGTCTATGCGAAATAACTCATCAGACTAAGCACCTGCTTTGGCAAGTGCAGGGACCAGGGCTTCATCCCCGGTCCACACGCCACGCTGGCCCAGCCCCCAGGGACGCACTGAGCCAATGAACAAGTCCGGGCATGGTGGTGCATGCCTGTAATCTCAGCACTGGGGAGGCTGAAAACAGGAGGATCACTACAAGTCTGAGCTGCATAGTGAGACCCTATACCAACTACATATAGTGAAATAAATAATTCTACAAATATTAATAAGTATTTAATATGCATATATAAGTTTTGTATTATCAAAAGCAGGAAGGCAGGGCATTGTAGTGCATGCTTGTCATCCCAGCTCTCAGGAGGCTGAGACAGGAGGATTGCTGCAAGTTCGAGGCCAGTCTGGAGTATCTAGTAAGATCCTGTCTTAAATAAAAGCAGGGGAGCAATTCACTTATCTGTTTTACACAAGTTAGAAATTCTAAATATATCTGACTGCAGTCAACAACTATGACCCCTTTCACCTTGAAGAAGCCAGAGCGATCTTCGCCCATGCTTCCCTCACAGCAGTTCGGGTTACTTCTTCAGAGGGGGGAGTATTGCAGGCAGCCAAGTTAGAAATATTATAGGCAGTCAGACAGGGCCAGGCCCTCAAGGAGACAAGATGCAAGACAAGGTGACTTTGCAACTTGGAAGAGACAGACACTCCCATATGGGCCACACCTCAAGACCAAGACAAAAAGAGGAAGCACAGCTACATACTTCCCTAGGGATGGGCATTAGGGATTGATATTATCAATCAACTTGAAAGAGCCCAAATGAGTCACTAGCCCAACCCCCAACAGGAAGAGACCCTGTTCCTTATTCCTGCCCTCTTGCTACATGACTCGCTTTCCCATTTGATACTGGATTTAATCAATTTTACCTGAGCAATGGTTCTTGTAATCTCATTGGTTGACCATAGTTTTGTCCAACCTCATGCCCAACTAAGCAAATTCCCATGTCTTCTCCACCACCTTAGACCCGCCTCACCACATGGTTTTCCTCTATAAAAGTCTCTGGAAGAGACAACTTCCTGAGGGGAACTACCAGCTCAGCCCCCCACCTCCTGTCCCTCTCTGTCAGGAGCTTTCTTTTTCTCAATAAATATATTCTGCTCATAAAAAAAGAAAAAAAATTCTAGTGGGGCTGATAGGAAGGGAACTCAGCCTAGGATGGGTTAGCAGATGACATGCTGGGGATGTGGTCCTTTCAACCCCTCTGGGTTAGGGTACATGCCCTAGAGGGGTGCCACTGTCTCCCCATTGGCCATCTCCTCCTACTACTACTCCTGTTGTCCTCCTCCTCCTCCTCCTCCTCCTCCTCCTCCTCCTCCTCACTCCTTACTCCTCACTCCTCACTCCTCTCTCCTCTCAGTGGGGGCATCAGCCGCCACAGTGGGCCCCGCCTACCTGTGTTCAGCCTGCCCAGCTGCCCTGTCCTCTTCTCTCTCTATAGGTGCCGGAGCCATCATTGCTGCCATCGTGGTGGTGGTCATCGTCACCTTCACAGTGGTTCTGATCCTGCTGAAGATGTACAACAGGTACGGGGTGCCTGGCCTATGGAACAGCCGCAGGAAGTTTATGTCACATGCACAAGGGTCAAAGGGCTGGGATTCAAACCCAGTCTATCTGGTTTCAAAAAAAATGCAGTAATGGGCCAGCCAGATAGCTCAGCAGACTAAACACCTGCTTAGGCAGACACAGGGACCGGGTTCGATCCCTGGCGTGCTGTGCACACTCAGAAGACCATTGAGACTGGGCGTGGTGGTGCACCCTGTATTCCAAGGCTTTGGGAGGCTGGAAACAGGAGAATCACTACAAGTCCAAGCTGTGTAGTGAGACCCTGTAGACCCTGTCCTAATTACATAAAAAAAAAAAAGCAGTAAAAATACCATCACATTGAACATGATTTTATTTTACTTTATTTTATTTTTGCTTTTTGTCTTTTTGAGACTGGCTCTTGCTATGCCATTGAGGCTGGCCTTGAGCTCACTTTGTAGCCCATGCTGGTCTCAAACTCACAGGGATCCTCCTGCCTCATCCTCCTGAGAGCTAGGATTATAGGCGTGGGCTACCGTGTCCGGCTTAAACACGTTTGCAAAAATCTTTAGGGCATTACTATTCGGGTCTTTCCCAAACCAAATGTCTACCTTCATTGCTGTCTCATTGCTGGAGCACTGAGCCACTTTGCTGGTTGTAATCTGGGTGGTGAGGACTCCCCACTCCTGTCCCACTGCTTACACCTATGCCTGGGATTGTATTTGAGGCTGCTGGGTTGTGTCTTTGACCTTTTAAATCTTGGTAAATTATTTAATCTCTGTCTCAATTTTGTCACCTTTGCAATGCAAGGATTGGGTGTGGTGACACACATGTTTCTAATCCAAGTGCTCAGGGCTGGCGAGATGGCTCAGTGGTTTAAAGCACCTACTTAGAACAAGCTTAGCAAAGCACAGGGACTGCGGTTCAATCCCCCAGCACCACATGCCAGCCAGCCCCGCCCCCTGGTGGGCTGAGCTGGCCACACACACACACAC